ACTAACTTTGATTTTGTACTTATACACTCACCGGCACGAAAATCGAGCACCATTAAATTTTCATTTATTTTAAAACTTTATATACAGGGTGTCCCAGAAATAAGTGCAAGTATTTTAAGAGGTGGTGGATCTCGATAAAAGAAACATATTGTTTCTTTATAGTTTTGCAAATTAGTCCAAAATAACGGAGTTATTTTACTTTGAAAATTTCAAAAAAAAATTATTTTTTGCTAAAATTTTGAGAACCACTGGATCTTTTCTGAATTTTCTTTCTTGTAAATTTAATCTAATACCTATGTTGCCATATTATCAAGAAATTATGTTTTATAGCTAAAAACTAAAAAAAAATTCAAAAATTTTTTCAAAAAATTTCGAATTTTTAATTTTTTTTTTCGCGAAAGAACCTCATAGGTGTGTTTCTAGGGTTGAACTATACTACCAGTTAAAATACTTGCACTTATTTCTGGGACACTCTGTATTGTGTTTTAGAGGACCGAGTTTGATGATTTTTTAAATAATTTGCAGCTAAATTATTTGACTTTCTAGTAACTCTTTCTAAATGAAAAATGAAAGTTGCCATCTGTCAATTATACGTGGAAAAACAAAATGTGGATATTTTGGTGAAAGTTTGAAACGCCCTATGGAATACGTTAACAAAACAAGAAATTTAAAAATAATTTTATCGTCTAGGTGTATCTTTTCTCGATAGTTATTTTTTTATACATCTCAAGAGCTTTATTTTTTGGAGATATTCTCATTTGAAGAAGACACTAACATTTTTTTGTATTTTCTAGTCAACAGACCTAAGAATAGTGTTTATGATTTGTGTCACGTTAATTTCTTTGAAAAATCATATTATTATTGTCTGTTGAGCAGTTACTCTAGCTGATATGATTTTAAGCCAAAAGTTGATCTCTACCACGATCAATTAAAGCAGCAATAGCCGATATTAAACGTACAATCATCTCTACTAGTGTAAATGTCAATAAACAATAATAATATGAATTTTCTATGACAGTGACATTACAAAAACAATAAACACTATTTATAAATGTCTTGATGGGGACCCAAAATCAATGCTAAAACTGCTGTAAATTGTTTCTGTTTGATTCAAAAGCGAGACGAATCTAAAAATAAACTATGGAGAAAAGACGTACCTAGATGATAAAATGATTTTTAAATTCCTTGCTTAACATATTCCACAGAGTTTCAAACTTTCACCAAAATATCAACATTTTGTTTTCCCTCATATAATTGACAAACTTTAATTTTTAATTTAGAAACAGACACTAAAAAGTCAAATAATTTAGCTATTTATTTCTTAAAAAATCATCAAAATCCGCCAACTAGAACAAACTATATTATAGTGTATTATTCAACGTGCATATATAATGGTGGCTGTTATTCACGCGGATGAAGTTTATGACATGAGCCGCTGGCGAGTGTCATAAATCATCCAAGTGAATAACAGCCATTATATTATGCGAGTAGAATACTATACTTTATCCAAGACTATAAAAAATTTAGAAAATATTAATATAAGTTTTTATTTTTAACGTCAAAAAAATATTGAACGAGTATAACGAGTAAGTAACATGGAAACAAAACATTGATTTTTTTTTTAACTAGGTAGCTAACTAATTTAGCTTTAACTTAAAACAAAAATTATTTATTTACATTAATGGTAATGTTTGACAGCCCTTGTTTGGAGTTTGGATCGGGATATCCGTGGAATCTGAGCGTAGAAAATCGCACAGCGCCTGACTATATAACAAAATTTTCTAATAAACCTTTAAACCTAAATTTTTCCTTTAGAGAGGTAACTTTCATAGAAACTCGAAACGCCGTAAATTCGTTAAAAAATAAGCATAGTAAAGATATTTATTACATGACCATTCCACTAGTTAAAAAAGTAATAAATTTATTAATATATCCTCTAACTGAATTATTCAATAGATGTATAAGAGACGGTACGTATCCCAGTTGTTTAAAAATTTCCAAAATCGTATACCAGTATTTAAAAAAGGTGATCCTGAAAGTGTGAATAATTATAGACCTATAGCTTTAATACCCACACTTTCAAAAATTTTTGAATGTTTATTGAAACACCAGTTAACACATTACTTTGAATCTAATAACTTGTTCATAGAGAATCAGTTTGGGTTTCGTAAAGGAAAATCTACAACAATGGCTTCCATTCGTTTGATGAAGATAATTGAGGGTTTTGAGAGCGATAACTATGTTGGTTCGGTCTTCTGCATCTTACCAAGGCCTTGATTGTGTGGATCACAACATACTTTTACAGAAAATTTCATATTATGGAGTAAATAATTTGAGTTCGAAATTATTGGCTGATTATCTTGTAAACCGATTCTCAACAAACATTAGCCAACGGTACGCTCTCTGATGTTGTAAAATATGGGGTTCCCAAGGCTCAGTATTAGAACCTTTATTGTTTTTAATTTACATTAATGATTTACCCGTTACTACACTTCAGAATAATTTGATTTTGTTTGCCGATGACACTACTATCTTATGTGCTCGGAAACCCCTGAAGAAATTCAAACTAATTTTGAATCGATTTTGCTAAATGTTGGTGACTGGTTTCAGGCAAACCGATTATGCCTGAATGACACTAAAACAGAAATAGTTATTTTTTCTCTTAAAACAAAATATAAAGTAGATTTCTGCAGTGTCCGATTTCTGGGAATAAAATTTGACACAAAACTGAGCTTTGAAAGTCACGTAGACTATGTGGCAGGAAGGTTTCCATGAGCGCTATTTCGGCGATTGGAAGTGTGTGGAGAGAGGATGTGTTAGTAGCTGCCTATCATGCTCTCATTCACTCGGTGCTTACTTATGGAATACTTGTTTGGAGTCGCTCAGCTCATGCTGACAGACTGTTTGAACTGCAAAGAAAACCATTGAGAATTTTGTCAAATTTAAGTTATCAAGCAAATACAAAAGACGCCTACAAAAGACTGGGAATACTGACACTTCCATGTTGCTATATCCTCCAGTGTCTTTTATTTGTGAAGGATAACCTAGAACTATATACTACGCATGATGAACAACACAATTATGCAACCAGAAACAGAATGAATATAAAGCCTGTTCGTTTGCGCCTCGGAAGATCTTGGAACTCCAGCCTTCATTATGCTCCTACATGCTTTAATAAATTATCTCAAAATGTCAGAAATTTACCAAGGCATCAATTTAAAACTACAATTAAAAGCTACCTTCTTGATATGGCTTATTTTAGTGTTACTGATTTTTTAGAAAGCAGTGAAGGGTTATAGCGTGGTTATAGGTTAAAACATTTACATTGTTTATGTATTGTTTTTTTGTGTACTTTAAATTACTGTTAAATAATTATTGTGCTTATTTTATAATTTTGCATTTTACAAAATATGACTTTGTGTAAGGATACTTGTATCTATTAACATGCAATAAATGATTTGATTTGATTTGATTTGGATGTGTGGTGAATAATGAAACCATTATTCACTAGTAAATAATGAATATTATTATTATTTCATAAACTCATGTATAATAATCAAATTATAGACGAGTCGTGGATAAAACTTTAAATACATCAAAATTTTAAGGTACCCGTTGTTCGTGCCTGTGAATGTACTAAGATATCTCGCAACTTTTTTAATAGAAGAAAATGGTAGTATATCTATTGTACTCGTCTCGCTAAACAAAGGAATATCAAGTTACATTGTGGGCACGGTGTATCTTAACTTTATAGTAGAATTCTAGCTCGCGCTGCTCAAATTTTTACCGTTGCCCTCTGGGATACATTTTACAATGAAGTATTATAAACCAGATGAATAGCGGTAAACAATGAAAGTCTTGTAACAGTAAAAAAATTGTATTATTCCTTCGGGTTTGTAACCATATTTTACTATATATTATTTTGAAATAAATTTGAGCTCAAAGATACCTACTGTAAAAATTAATTTTAATTATCATGTGTTAAAAATTAAATGTGCAAATAATTTTGTCACCTCGTCGGTTAGAAGACGTTAATATAAGAATTCTAAATGCAACTTGACCCCATTTTTAGGTTATGTTGTATTTTAAAAAATTCCTGAAAATTAAAAAATCTTTTTAATTTTCAGCAATTTTTTTTATTTTTTACCCTGTATGTACTTTTTTGACAAACTCTGTTAGTAAAAAATTAACTAATCAATCTGCATCGATCGTTATGGCCTATTCTTGATACCAGTGAGACCTCTACGGATAGAACTAGTGGAGCTCTATTATTGCCCATAAAAAAATTTCTTCGAAAATTTCCAAAAAATTTTCCAGCCAAAATCGAGCATTCTTCAGTTATTCCGATTTGAAGGGTTTTCAGGTGTGGGTCGATGTAGATCGATTAGTTAAATTTTTTAGTATCCACAGTTTGTCAAAAAAGTACATACAGGGTGAGAAAATAAATAAAAACCATATTTTTTCATTTTCGGCAATTTTTTTTATACAACATAACCTAAAAAACGGGTCAATTGCATTTAGAATTCTTACATTAACGGCTTCTAACCGTAGCAGGTGAGAAAAGTGGAAAAAGTTAATAAATAAAAAATTATATTTTTTCCAAAGGAGTATATCCAGAAAATCGACAATCGAAATATTTCTATTTAAATATTTCGGAAACTCTGCATTTTTAAAACACAGTTTAAATGGGGAGAATATAGACCTCCACTAGCTCTATCACTGATCGTTTAGCTACTGACCGTTTCCGAGGGGAAACTTCTAATTTTTATTTAGACCTTTATTTTTTTTCTGCTGGTATAATTTAATGTAGCGACCAAACGCCAAAGTTTTTGAAGTGACTTCCACGCTTAATTTCAATGTTAGCACCTTAAAAACGTTTTAGAATCATAAAAAATAGGTCCCTTCTAAAAACACACGAATTTTGGTAGCTCGACTGGACTATGTAATACTGATTATTACTTGAATTAATTTTATTAATATTATCCGCTTTGTGCTTACAGGATATGGGATCACTGCAACACGATGCAGGATTACATTGAAATCCTGGACGGTTGGGGCGGCGGCGCCACCACCCTGGCCCACCTTTGCAGCGGCGAAACTATCCCGGAGATTATTAGCAGCGGTCCAGAACTTCTACTTAAGTTTCATACTTCTCCTTTCGGAAATCCGTTTCATCCTTTACCTCTATCCTATTTGCCGGGATTCGAGCTCGAGATCGAGGTAGGTATGACTGTAATTATAGAACCAACTCTATCTCTGTCTGGCTTTATCTGGTTTTATCGCACCATTTTGCTCTGAAGAAAAGTTTGATAATTAAGTGTTCTCAAATTCCTCAAAAAATGTTTCATCTTTATAAACCATTAAGTTCTTTGAGATATTTGAATTTTTGAAGTTAGTTGAAATACTTAAATAAAAAATATCTTTTTATTCATCTTTATAAAACCCTCCTACCAAATTTTAGTTATCCAGCAACAGAAACAGTGGTATCACTGACAATTTTTTACCACACTAAAATCTAACATTTATTTAAACAAATTCAAATATTACAAAAACTGTTAATTTTAGGTGTATAACGTTTATATAAATATAAAAAAGTTATAAAATTTTTCCCAAAATCTTATGCAATGTCGTTTACGCGATACTTGACGATCTTTAAGTTTTTTTTTTTAAATTTAAGATACCTAAGCAAATATTAATAATTGTTTATTACGGAAAAAGTAAAATCAAAATCAATAAAAATAAGAAATATAAAATTAACAATGTTGATCATAATTGAAGTACATTTGATACCAATTTAGTAATTCGGAATTATTTTTTTATATTTAATTTTCTAATTATTTAATTAAGAAAAATGTAAAATTTTATTGCATTACACTTTTGTACGTTCGTTTGCTATTGCTACAATAAGCAATGTATCACATAACCAAAATTCGGTGTAAGATCGGTACAAGACTAAAAATAAATATCAAAATTTATAATATCTGATCTTAACATAGACTTAGTTCAAAATAAACCAAGGCAATATTTGAGTTGTTTTTTACTTAAAAATAAGTTAAGAGAAGAAGAAAAAATCAACTGGAATTGCTGGAAATGTTTTGATCTATATTAAGCCCGTGGTTATTTAAATCAATTTATTGGTTTTTACTGTTCCCTAAAGCTTTTTTGAAGTTAAAACAAAATGTAAATAATACTAATTAATTAATATTTATTTAAATAAAATAACCAAAACCCGATCTAATTAAAACGATTACGATGATTAAGCAGAAAGATTATATCTCGGATGATATTTTCACAGTTGTCCCTGCTACTTCTTTTAGTTAAATATGATTTATTTATTATAATATCTGTGTAATAAGAAACGTCTATACTTTTATGACTTGTTACAGGCTTTTTCTGGAAGAATCATTATTAGAACAAAATGCTCAAAAATAAAAATATTTAATTTAACTTACATAAAATATGTAGATTTTAATTAAACATAATTTTTACATTTTTTAATCCAGTTGATTGTTAAATACTGAGAGACCTAATATAAAGAGATACACTATATCAGTGGTATAAAATAAAAATAAAAGCAAAGAAAATAATAGTACCTAAAAGTAAATAATTTAAATATACAGGGTGGTCCGAACTGTATTCTGGAAACTTTGGCAGCATATTCTGCAGATAAAAATATGTAAAAAATTTCGTATAAATGTATGTCCTAAAATGCTTAGTTTCGCAGATACCGAGTGTAGAAATTTCATTTTTGTTTCGATTTTTTTCATATAATTTGTGAAGTAACGTCAATATTTAGATGAAAATTGGTGTCTGGAAGTTTTTTGACCCGAAAAACTTTGATGTCAATATGACTCCTATTAGTAGGGGGCGCCACCTACCTGTGTTTTAACTGTTTTGAAGAGTAATAACTTTTCGTCCGTACCTGTATAAAACTACAGAATGAAAAAATATACATTTCCTTGATTTTTTTACGTAAAAAATGTCTTTTGGTAAAAATCGCTACGAGCAACCGTTCTCAAGATATTTCGAATGGAAATAGTCAATACGTGTCATTATTGACAAAAAATACACATACAGAGAAGATAGTTATTTCACTGAATGAATTATTTTAAATTAATCATAAATTTTTCTTCAAATAAATAATGATAAAACTGTTTCTGTTGAACTTTTGGCACAAAACATTTCAAATTTATGATTTCAGTCTAGTATCTATTTAGTCAATATGTTTAATTTATGTATGTCAATGATGACAGGTATTGATAATTTCGATTCGAAATATCTCGAGAACCATTACTCGTAGCGATTTTTACCAAGAGACCTTTTTTACGTAATAAACCTCGCAAATGTATATTTTTTACTCAGTCGTTTTATACAGATCCGGACGAAAAGTTATTACTCTTCAAACCAGTAAAAATATATGTAGGTGGCGCCCTCTAGAAGTAGGAGTCATATTGACGTCAAAATCAAATTTCGCATATCAAAAAACTCCCAGATACCAATTTTCATTGAAAAAAATCGAAATAAAAATGAAACTTCTACACCCTGTATCTCCGAAACTAAGCATTTTCCGACATACATTTATACGAACTTTTTTACTTATTTTTATCTGCAGGATATGCTGCCGAAGTTTCCGGAATCCAATTCGGACCGCCCTGTCTACTGAATAAAACCAGAATTTAGAGTGTTTCATGATGCGAATATTATGAAATATGAACTTATATAAAAATATTATAACTAGTATTTCTATTTTCAGGTTTTTTTCGTCAATAAGGAGTCGCCTACCTACATAGAACCAGGAAAAAAGTGTGAATTTATCGTTACTGCTTTTGAAAACACTACTGGGCATTTAGAAAGCCCGAAGCATTCTTTACCACCTAATACTACTTGTCACTATCATTTCAGGTAACTCTTACTTTAAAATTACCAAAAACGTAATAAGATTACTGTGATAATAACTAGAAAAGAAAATTAGCAATACTTCTCACCCCATTTTACTTTAAATTTACCAGTGGCATGATGATGGCGAGCTGTTTTTTTATCAACAATCGTAAAAAAGTTATTTTAATTTGTAATATACGTAGTAATCCGGGTGAGATTCAAAAGTGGCTCACCCCTATAACTTTTTTATTTTTCAAGTAAAAAAACGAGACTTGGTATGTTGGTATATGACATAAATTAGAATTGACTGACCTATTCAATTGTTTTTGGTCACTTTCTGTTTCACCGGAAATGACTACAACTTTTGATTTTTAAATGGCACCCTCAGATTTTTTTTTACTTTATTCGATAGAAAATGACACTTTGAATAGAATCATATCTTATAATCATTATAATATCATATGCCAACTTTTAACATTTCCTTATATGGTTTATTTGAAATTGTAACACGAAGTTCATAACGATAATTTGACTTGAAATACCAAGTGTGTGGTTCTAATTATTCGTAAAAAAATGTTTTTTTCCAGATTTGCTAATGAGCCACCCTCGTTCCATTTCAAAAAATTGAGATATAATAAAAATACGATTTGAGCATCTTTTAACTGGCCAAGACAAAACACGAAAAACATTAGACGATCAAATATATTTTCCCAAAGCTTGAATAAAAATTAGTGTTTCTAACACAGCCATGACACTCTAGATTGACATTTAAAATACGATTTTTGTTAAAGCGAAAATGTAAAAAGTTGACATATGATACGTCATTCTATTCAGTGTCATTTTCTATCGAATAAAGTAAAAAATACCGAGGGTGCCGTTTAAAAATCAAAATTTGGAGTCATTTCCGGTAAAACAGAAATTAGCCGAAAACAATTGAATACGTCAAACTTAATTTATGTCATATACTAACATACCAAATCTCGTTTTTTATCTGAAAAAATAAAAAAGTAAGCCACTTTTGAGACGGAGTCGGTACACCAATCTGTAGATATATGATTGATGAATTTTTAGGTATTGTTATATTTCTTCATAGCATATGCAAGAGATATTGTTCTTTTTGTTATGCCTAATAAAATACTAAAAGTAATATAAATGATTTAATCATAACATGTAGTCATTTCCGGTGAAACAGGAAGTGACCAAAAACAACTGAATACGTCATCAATCAATCCTATTTTAGTAAGAATTGAATATATGATGGATATATATCCATCCTAATTTATGTCGAGTACTAACATACCAAATCTCGTTTTTTTATCTAAAAAAATAAAAAAGTTATTGGGGTGAGCCACTTTCTAGACGCACCCGGCATATAATATAGGGCTATTTGTACCAAGTTTTGTCTGAGGTCAAACAGAGTGTAACTCTAATTTCACCATCGAAAACGCTATCTAATAACAAAATATACGTATTTTTATAATCTACGTATAATTCTTAAAAGTAAAGACGCCACGGTGAAAGCTAAAATGACGTAATGTTACTTACCGCCGAAATGCCAATCCGAGGTTAGAATAGTTCACCTTTTTACAAACTATGAACTTGCAAACCATCGTTTAAAAACCAAAAGAGTCAGAACCACTGCGTAAAACTCACAACATCCGTCTGTCAAACACATAATGAATAAAACTGTGAAATGTCAGCGTAATTCCCACATATTCCTACAATTTCTAGTAAAATCAAAACCACAACGTTGCCAAGCGTTGCCACAGTAATTTCTCTAATATATTTTAATATAATAATTTAAAGAGTAAACTAAAAATGATGTTAAATAATGTATAATCTATGTAATTTAATTAAATTTATATACCTAAACAAATATTTAGTTTAACGTTTTTATTGTACCCAAAAAACATTAATAACAATTGGAACGCGAGCAGTGATCTATCGCTAGCAACGTAAAACTGCCATCATCGATTTTTGTGGAACACAGGTCTTTGATTGCGATAAAATATAAATTTCTTTCTATTAAAAATCCTATATGAGTATTTCGCCACTGCAAGAAAATCTAGAAAATAAAATAGTTATTTTTTTTGTAAACCCTGCTGCGTTAATCCAACGGAGACTAATTGTTAGCAATTAGGTTTACTGATAAACAAATTTACCTAATGAACAAAAAAATTATTAAGTTTCGGAAAGTTTATCTCTTTTCGTCGTAGGAAGCAAAAAAATAAAAAGAATAAGGAAAAAACTATTTAAAATATTTAAATGCAACTTGCATTTAAATATGCATTCTAGAACACTTTATTAACAGATACGTCTACAAAAACCGTTGACGTTCTGAAAAAAATGTAAATTGTTTCGTCTTCCTTTATTTTTGTCTTTGATAAATACCAAGAACATTTTGTATGCTATAGGGAAGCTTTGCAGCTAGTCGATATACATTTATTCGGAATATTTATCATAACTGAGGAATATATGATAAACAATTAGTAATTTGGTATAAATTTTTATTTAATTTTTTTACTTATTTTTTTTTAATTCAAGTCCAATTTGGACCACTATAAATTCAATCACTGACATTTTTTATTCTTATACCACAAAGACATTGTGGTACACAATTGTCTCGTAAAATATTTTTTTTTTAAATAGCGATTTGTAGAGTTTTGTTATCTACTTGGTTGTAGTACAAATAATATACATAATTACAATATAATAATAATTTAGTAGTACAGGTAATTATAATGGCTATATTTTCATATGGCGCCTGGCGGGTTAATTTCTCGATAAAAGCCTGGATTTCTTGCCACTGGAAGAGAAATCTTCAAAATAAAAAAGTTATTTTTTGTATACGTTACTGTAAAAGTTTAAAATAAGTGAATATCAACATTCATCTGTCATTGTCGACAAACAACAAGGGAGTGGGTGAAAGTCCCAACATTTATTAATTTTATCATAAACATAATAAAAGTATTTCACCGGTGTATGTCGACAAACAAAAATGAGCTCCGGTGAAGGTTGGAAACTATCAAGTCTTTAATTCATTAAAAATTCAGTGTTTCAATGGTGAAAATAGTCATGATGATTAGATAATACTAATTGATGCTAAGATTCTGGAACTATTTTTCTAATTCACTAGTCATGTTGAATAATTTTGTGTAATAAGTTTATGAAAAAAAATAATACAGAATGTTTTTCAAAAGAGCACTCTTATAACTTTTTTATTTATTTAGATGAAAAATCAAAATTTGGTATGTTAGTATTCATCATAAAGCAGGATTGTTTGATGTTTTCAATTATTATTTGTCACATCCTGTTTCACTGGAAATGACTACAACTTTTGATTTTTAATATTACTCTCGGTATTTTTTTTAATTTTATTTGATAGAAAATGATATTCTGGATAGAATGACATATCACATGTCAACTTTTGACATTTTCTCACGCCAATATTTTAAATTTCAATCTACAGTATCAAGACAATACATTCCAGTACCAAGTATGTAGTATCAAATTATTCTTAAAACAATACATTTTCCAAATATTCTACTGAGCCACCCTGGTTCCATTTAAAAAAAATGAGTCATGATTAAAAATATGATCTCGTCATCTTTTAACAGGCCAGAAAAAGACACGAAGAACATGAGACGGTCAAATTTATTTTTCCAAGGCTCCTTGATGAAAAATCAGTGGTTTTAACACAGCCATGACCTTCTAGATTGGAATTAAAAACTCTTTTTATTGAAAATGTCAGAAGTTGACTTGTATTATGTCATTCTGTTCAGAATGTCATTTTCTATCAAATAATATCAAAACTTTATGAGGGTATCATTTATAAATCAACAGTCTTAGACATTTCATACAAAGCAGTGAAACATGAAGTGACCGAAACTATTTGAATACGTTAATTAATTCCAATTTAAATGATATACTAAGACGCCAAATCTCGTATTTTTTATCAAGAAAAGTTAAAAAGTGGTAAGGGTGGGCCACTATTGACAAACACCCGGTATACATAGTCCGGCAATAGTGCGTCGGGCATCTGTAGCTCCTAGAATAAAAAACTTGAGAATTTTGTTTAAGTGCTAACCTAAAGTATGTACGAGGATATATTTCATGAAAATAATTTAACCCCTACAGGATGACTTAAAAATGTGTGAGTGGATCAGGATGATTTTTTTTTTAAATAGAACATCCTGTATATTATTACATGTTTGGCTCTCTTTCTGATTACTTTACATCATCTTAAGATATTTTTAAATAAGTTTTGCTTGTTTGAGAGATACCTATTAATAAATAAATAAAAAATATATTTTTTCAGCCTTTCTTAAAACAATTATTAAAAATACAAGAACTGTCCTGAAATCAAAATTATATTAGGTGTTTACTTTACTTTACTCTCGTCTGTACTTACTTTGCTATAAATATCGTAATCTTACAGAGTGTTCAAAATTCTACGCCAAACTTTCTAAAATATAAAATATTTTTTCTTCGTTATTTTAAATGGGACATCCTGTATATTATTCTATTAATAGATGGAGAATTAAAAAATTAACATGTTTTATATTTAGAGTATTGGAAAATTTTTAAAGACTTCGCAGATACCCGCGGTATTATTTCATATTACTCTTTCAACGGTAAAATACGAGAGAAAAATTGGGTGGCTTTGATAAAAGTTTACTACGGAAAATGCCATATGAAATATAAAACCGCGAATATCTGCCAAACCGTTAAAAAGTTTGAAATACTCTAAATACAAAAAAATTTCTTAATTTTTTAATTCTTCATTTACTAAAAAAAAATAATAGGTATTTAAAAAATTAAAAAAAACGAAGAAAATTTATTTTATATTTTAGAAAGTTTGGCGTAGAATCTTGAACATCCTGTATGATTTAAGACTACAATATAAATTAAAAAAAAAAAGTAATTACAGACCATCTAACGTAAATATATAATATTTTTTGTATAATATATAATTTGTTTTGATTTCAGGACAGTTCTTGTATTTTTAATAATTTTTTTTAAGAGAGGCTGAAAAGTATATATTTTTTATTTATTTATTAATATCTCTAAAACTATCAAAACTTATTTAAAAATATCTTAAGATTATGTAAAGTGACCAGAAAGGAAGCCAAAAATGTAATAATATACAGGGTGTTCCATTTAAAAAAAATTATCCCGATCCACTCACACTTTTTTGAGCTACCCTGTAGAAGTTAAAATATTAGTTGATTAGCACTTAAATAAAATTTCCAACTTTTTTATTTTAGGAGCTACAGATAACCGTTGCATTATTACCGGACCCTGTATAGGATGTGCCACGATAAAACATTGAGTTTTTTAATTTGATTTGATTTTTATTTTTTTTAATAAACTTTTTTTTAATTAAAACAGTTGGATGAATATCTGTTACAACTATTTTAATTAAAAGCGTTTCTCTTGCACTAACAAATTTCTCGTTTCAGAGGACAACCTCGGGATATCGTTTGGGTGTCGTTCCTGAAATACTACGTGACAAGCGACCGATTGAACGACTTCAACGGGGGCGAGTGCGACGTGCAGTTGCAAATTTGGGATGGAGATGTTCGAAGCAAGAGCCCGGTACAATTAATCGGCCAGTTTTGTAAAGACGACAAGCCCAAACTCTGTGATCACACTTTATTAATGAACTCGTCTAGAATTACAAGGCCTTGTAGGTAAGGATGTTTTATTTGTATCGAATATTTATTCACAGTTTTTACAGAATCGTTTATATTATAAGTTTTTAAAAGTATAATATTTTTATATACAGGGTCCGGCAACAGTGCGTCGGGCATCTGTAGCTCCTAGAATAAAAAACTGAAGAATTTTGTTTAAGTGCAAATCTAAATTATGTTCTAGGATGTATTCCAGGAAAATATTTTAACTTCTATAGGGTGGCTCAAAAAAGTGTGAGTGGATCGGGATTTAATTTTTTTTTAAATGGAACACTTGTATATTATTGCATTTTTTTTTTTTCAGATCACTTTACATAATCCCAAGATATGAGTAAATACATTTCGATAGTTTTAGAGATATTAATAAATAAATAAAAAAATATATATTTTCAGCCTCTCTAAAAAAATTTATTAAAAATTCCAAGAACTGTCCTGAAATCAAAACGATATTAGATATTTACTTTAGATGGTCTGTACTTACTTTGCTATAAATATGGTAATCGAATATCATACAGGATGTTCAAAATTTTACTCCAAACTTTCTAAAATATAAAATAATTTTTCTTCGTTTTTTAAATAGAACACCCTGTATATTATTTTTTCAATAGATGGAGAATTAAAAAATGAAAATTTTTTGTATTTAGAGTATTCCAAAAATTTTTGATGGTTTCGCAGATATTCGCGATTTTATATTTCATATGGCATTTGCCATAGTAAATTTTTATCAAAGCCACCCAATGATTTTTCTCTGGTATTTTACCGTTGAGAGAGCCATATGAAATAATACTGCGTGTATCTGCGAAACCATTTAAAATTTTGAAATACTTTAAATACAAAAAATGTTCATTTTTTAATTCTCCATCTAATAAAAAAATAATATACAGGGTGTTCCATTTAAAAAAACAAAGAAAAATTATTTTATATTTTAGAAAGTTTGGCGTAGAATTTTGAACATCCTGTATGATTTAAGATTACGATATTTATAGCAAAGTTAAGTACAGACCATCTAAAGTAAATACCTCATATAATTTTGATTTCAGGCCAGTTCTTGTATTTGTAATATTTTTTTTAATGAAGGTTGAATAATATAATTTTTTTAATTATTTATTAATATCTCTGAAACTATCTAAATATGTTTATCCATATCTTAGGATTATGTAAAGTGATCTGAAAGGAAGCCAAAAATGCAATAATATATAGGGTGTTCCATTTAAAAAAAATCATCCTGATCCACTCGCACTTTTTTGAGCCACCCTATAGAAGTTAAAATATTTTCCTGAAATACATCATTGTACATACTTTAGATTTACACTTCCTTACGACGCACTATTGCCGGACCCTGTATATATACATACAGGGTGGCGCACGTCATTCGCCTCGGTTGATTATACGAAAACGGAAAGATGTAGAAACAAACTATTTTATGGGTATATGTGGGAAGTCAATGTGCCTAATTTAAAATTATTTTGAAATGTACAGGGTATGTCAGAACTAAGATTCACACCAAAGTTATATTTTTTCTTATGGAATACCTGGTATTTTATGTCATATTTGGACATAAAATATACACAAAATAAGGCATTTATTGTAACAGTTAAACATGTTTACAAGCTTTGGTTTTTAAGATATTTAAAGATATTTAAATATTCATGTTATAATAAAAAATATTGTCAACATCCTGTACATTGCTTTTCAAAATTAATTCTTGTCCTGACTTTTAAGTCAGAGAAATAATTTGCTCAAAAAAATTGATTGCTTTGTTTAATGTATACAGGGGTATCAAAAATTGCTAGTCTATTTTAAACATTTATTTTACATAAAAACTTCATTATTTCAAATACAACACCCTGTATTTTTTAAAATAAATCGAAGTAGATTCAAATGCTCTTTCAAACTATATTAAGGCATCCTATAATATATCCAGCTCAGATTTTGAATAAAGAGCAATTTTTCAATAAAAAGGCAACCAGGGGACTAATGTTATCATGGCAAGTTCTAGTGAAATTTAGTAGCTATTGGGTTCGGTTGATTAGGTGCTATTAGTTAGGCAGTTTACTTTTATTTAATTTACCTACAATAATTTAATAAATAATATTTATTAACTAATATGTATTTATTATTCTGTCAAGATAAACGAAGAAGTAGTTCTTTGATTTATTTTACGATGACTTGTAGATATATGGATTTTTTTTATAAAAGAGCCAATTACGGCAAATTAATTTTCTTCATTTCCAAAGACAGCTTAATATATTTTTTATAAACCACACTACCAGCTCTGCGAAATAGGACAAGTAGAGTTTTTCAAAGGATGGCTTATCAGGAAGATACCTATTTGTTTATCTTTGAGCATAAGCCCTTGAGGCCAAGAAGCAATTTTCCTCACAAAATAAAATTACTATTAACATATCCATTCGTTCCGCCAGCAGGTAGGTACTGCTTTATTTTTCTTGATAAAATAATGAGTACTTACTTATTAAACTATTAAGGGTAAATATAAGTAATTTGTTATAAATCTAAATAATAATGTCCATAAACTAATTTCGATTTCAAAAATAGTTACTAACTGTCACTAGAAAATTGCTATGGCGACACCAGCCCTCTTAATTGCCATTTTATTGAAAAATTTCTCTTTATTCAATCTGAGGTAATAGGAGACCCTAATATAGTTTGAAAAAGCTTTTAACGCTGCTTCGATTTGTTTTAAAAATACAGGGTGTTGTAAATACAGGGTGTGTTGAAATAACGAAGTTTTTTATGTGAAATAAAAATTTAAAATTGACCAGCAATTTTTAATGCCCTTAAACAAAGCATTCAAATTTTTCGATAAAGTTTATTTCTCTGGCTTAAAAATCAGCACAACAGTTAATTCGGAAAAGCAATGTAGAAGAGGTATTTTTTTTTATTATAGCGTACATATTTAAATATCTCAAAAACCAAAACTTGTAAACATATTTAAATCTAATCATAATAAATGCCTTATTTTGCGTCCAAAGATCCAAATATGAAATAAAATACCGGCTTTTCCATAAGAAAAAATATAACTTTGGTGTGGATCTTAGTTCTGACATACCTTGTACATTTCAAAATAATGTTAACTTATGCACATTGCCTTCCCACATATACCAATAAAATATTTTAATATTTTGTGTCTACATCTTTCCGTTTTCGTATAATCAACCGAGGCGAATGAGGTGCGCCACCCTGTGTAAAAAGCTGATAGCTTGATTTGTTATATTTTTCCACTTATTTATGTCCTTCGCTTTTATTCTTCTCAAGTCCTTTTTAACATTCCTTTTCCCATTTGGTTCTCGGTCTATCCGTCCTTTTCTTTTCACCTATTTCACGTCTCATTATCATTTTACGAACTCTTGTTTTGAGCCATTCTATTAATATGTCCTAGCCATCGCAGTCTTTGTGCTCTTGCTACTCCCGTTATACTTGGTGGACTGTTTAATAACTGCTTTATATATATATATATATATATATATATATATATATATATATATATATATATATATATATATATATATATATATATATATATATATATATATATATATATATATATATATATATATATATATATATATATATATATATATATATATATATATATATATATATATATATATATATATATATAGAGAGGGAGGTCTTGACCGATCAATTATAACCAAAATAGGATAGCTATCCCCAAGAATTTTCTTCTTAGTTTTGGTTATAATTGATCGGTCAAGACTTCCTCTTTGTATAATTGTTGGTATGGGGTTTTACCTTGATATGAAACATCTTTTTGGCAATGATGCTGTTAAACAACTGAAGAAATGGGCTAGTCTTAATAACAAACTAGCATCTTTGAGAAATAGAAGAATATTTTTGTTGACATGTAGAAGTAAAGGAATTATACCAAATCATATCAAAAATAATACTAAAAATTTGATTATTAATTTAAAAAGTGGACATAGAAGAACTGGATACAGGACTTTAGACTTTTTAAATAGGTTAGACCAAAAAATTTTAAATTTTGAGATAGATATTACTTTGAAAGATATTAATTTTATTGAAAAATTTATTAATAATTTAAAATCTAATCTTTCTAATTTATTTCCTGAATATATTTTAAATAATTTTTATGAATTTCAAAATTTATCTTATGAAAAAAAATTCAAAAATATTAAAAAGAATAACATAAAGAAGATTAATAATTTTAATATTTTTCAAAATAATAAATTTTTAAATGTTAATGATAATTGGATTAAAAATTTATCTAATGTGAATTTACCAGATAATATTAAAAAATTTTTAGCTTTAGGACAAAAATTTAGTATTGAACCCCATTTAAATGACATTAATTTTAAAAAATTTTTAGCTGATATTGAAAATATTATTTTGTTACATCCGGAAAATTTAAGAAATATTGTGAGATCACAAGTTACAAATGTTTTAACTAATTATATTCATAAACCCATTAGTAATAACAATTTTATGAGAAAATTATATTTAGATACTAAAGAATTTTTTAAATCTAATCCTAATTTGATTGTTACTAAAGCTGATAAAGGTAATATTACAGTGATTATAACTAAGGAAGAATATTGTCAAAAATCGTTAGAAATTCTTTCTGACAATAATTATTATAAAGTACTTGATAGAGATCCAACTTCTACTTTTCAACAAAAAGCTAATAAACTAGTTTCTAAATTTAAAAATAAATTAACTCCTGAATTTTGTAAGAAATTAACTATTTACAATCAAAGTTCTCCAAAATTTTATGGTTTACCTAAAATCCATAAAGAAAATATACCTTTAAGACCAATCGTTTCTTCAATAAATTCTCCTAATAGTAAATGGTCTCAATATGTTACTAATGTTTTAACCTTGTCTTATAATCAAGATAATGAATATTTTACTCATGATACTTTTAAATTTGTTGATTTTATTATGAATAAAAGAATTCCTCAAAATTATGTTCTGATAAGTCTTGATGTTGTTTCATTATT